GAACGAAGGGAAAAGGGTAAGTGCGGCACAGAATTCTTCTCGGGGTAGATCTAACGAAAGAGACCATAAAACCGGTCAGCACCAAGTGAAATCGGAACCGCCAACTAACAGTGACGATGGTGAGGACGATTATTATTATTTTGGTCTCCATAATGTCGGGCGCGGGGAGGCACCATACCGGGTTTTACTTTCGGTGAATGATAGACAATGCGAATTTGAAATTGATTCGGGTGCGAGCTTTACGGTTATGGCACAATCGTGTTTCGAAAGACTATTTGCGGGGGATACACCGCGATTAAATAACATTCAGTTATCGTTGAGAGACTGGCAGAAAAAGGACATTGCAATTCTGGGCGAATGTGAGGTGCGCGTATCGTTTAATAAACATTCGAAAACGTTACCTTTAGTCGTGACGAAGGGCGATAACATTAGTCTGTTGGGGCGAAATTGGTTTGAGGCTTTGGGAATTAAGCTGTCGATGAACGCGGTAGCTACGGTCGATACAAATATTGAGCGGGTGCTGCAACAATTTAGCGACGTGTTCGATAATAACCTTGGGAATTTTCGTGGAAAACCGGTCAAATTAGAAATTGATTCTACAGTGCGGCCAATTCGATTAAAGGCGCGTAATGTAGCTTTCGCGCTTCGACCCAAAATCGAAGCGGAAGTCGAAAAACTGATCAGACAGGGTATTCTGGAACCGTGCGAGAATCCTACATGGACTACTCCAATCGTACCGGTGGTGAAATCCGATGGGTCGATTCGTATCTGCGCAGACTATAAATGTACACTTAATAAGGCACTCCAGGATGACCCGTACCCAATGCCGACCACACAAGAAATAATTGCCGCTTTGAACGGGGCAAAGGTCTTCGCGAAATTGGATATGGCGCAAGCATATCAGCAGCTGAAGGTGGACGACGAATCAGCAAAGTTGCAGACGATAATCACCCAAAGGGGCACATATATGGTACGCAGGCTGTGTTTTGGAATTAAAGTGGCACCGCAAATATTCCAACGATTCATCAACGACCGTTTGGCTGGTATACCGGGATGTTTTCCGTACTACGATGATATATTGGTAGCAGCAGGAAACGACCAGGAGTTGCTAGAACGCATTACGGAAATTTTACGCCGGTTCTCAGAGGATGGGCTAAAACTAAAAAGAAGTAAATGTGTTTTTAGAACAAAGGGCATCGAATTTTTGGGGTTTTATATAAGTGAAGAGGGGGTGCGCCCAATCGCTGATAAAGTCCGCAACATCAAACATGCGCCAACACCGACGTGTAAAAGGGAATTGCAATCATTTCTTGGATTGCTAAATTTTTACCACGCCTTTTTAAAGAATAAAGCGAATTTTGCTGAGAGTCTCCATCGTCTGTTGGACAACAAAGTTCCGTGGAATTGGACTACAGAAAACCAAAGAACCTTTGAAGCCGTCAAAGAGTTGCTTTCTTCTGACCAACTGTTAGTACACTACGACGCCAGGAAAGAGTTGGTACTCACATGTGACGCGTCTCCTTGGGCCGTGGGGGTGGTGCTGAGCCATGTAGATAGTGATGGCAGAGAAGCACCCATTGCGTTCCATTCAAAAACTCTTAGCCAAGCAGAGCGCCGGTACAGTCAATTGGACAAGGAAGCGTTAGCGATAGTGGTGGGTGTTAAGAAATTCCATAATTACTGTTATGGGCGACATTTCGAAATTGTAACGGACCACAAACCGCTCTTAGGAATTTTAGGAGAAAATAAACCAGTACCGCAGATGTCTTCGCCGAGACTAGTTCGCTGGGCATTATTCCTGAGTAATTATGACTACAAGCTGATACATAAGCCAGGGAAGGACATCAGCCATGCGGATGCTCTGAGTCGCTTGCCAGCGGACGCGGCAGAAACTGAGTACGCGAGTTACGAACGCATGGGCGAGGTATTCATGCTGGAAAATATGCCAGAGACACCACTGAACGCCGAGAGGGTGGCAGAGTTGACAGGACGAGACCCGGTTATGAGCCGAATTCGAGACTTTATACAAAATGGTTGGCCCCATAACTTGGAGGATGGGCTGGAGGAAGAGCAGGTACGACCGTTCAAGGCTAGGAGAGACGAATTGTCCACCTACAAAAACTGCATACTATGGGGTACCCGAGTGGTAATTCCACCAAAAATCCGAGAGAGAGTTCTGGGAATCCTCCATGGTGCTCACATCGGGATGGTAAGAATGAAGTCATTGGCCAGGTCGTACGTGTGGTGGCCATCCATGGACCAAGCTATTGAAAACGCAGTCCGGCACTGTGAAGAGTGCCAACAACAGCAAAAGTTGCCGGCCCGAGCGTCAATACATCCGTGGGAGTGGAGCGAAGTTCCCTGGAGCCGAGTCCATATAGATCACGCAGGACCATTCTGTGGTCAACAATTTCTAATTATTGTTGATGCTTTCAGCAAATGGTTGGAAGTCAGGAGAGTACCATCTACAGCATCGGAACACACTATCCAATGTCTCTCCGCCCGCTCTTTGCGAGCACGTGACGCGACCGTTGCCGAGGCATTATAGGCCGCGCGCGCCTTCTCCAACCACTCCTCCGCAGTTACTTCAAGGTGCCAGATTCTGTCGAAAACGGCAGGATCCATTGCACCTAGGAGGATCAGCGGTGGAATGGAGCGATCTAGAGACTGAATCTTTTCGAGAGATAGCTTAGCTACCTCTGTCTTGATCCAGACCTCATCCACTTGGGAACGAAGGAGTAATCTCCTATCGTCTTTGTTCTTCGTCTTTTCCTCGTCGCTAAATAGCGACTTGTAAGAGCGAAGACATTTGCTCAGGAATTTTTCTTGAGCAACCCGAAGTGGATCGACCGCCGGAGTTTTTGGTACCGCCGCAGCTGCTGCGAGAGTTGAAGGAGGACTGTCCTTCTGTGACGCCTTTTTAGGGTTCACAGCAGCACTCCCCTTCCCCCCCCGCGGCAGCAGCCGCTTTGGGCTTCCCTTTGGAGGCATCCGAAGTGGCAGGGGCAGCTTTCTTTGTCTTTGCCTTAGGCAAAGAGGATGGAGCTGCTTCAGCGAGTAAGGAGCTAGTCGCTCGACAAGCCCTTACCAAGTCGGTTACTCTTTAGTAGTGTTGTTAGTATAGCCCTTGAAAATTCTCATTATTTTGGGATTTAGAAGATTCAGTTGGTAGCTTTGGATGATACAGCCGTTGTAACTATACATCATAATATTAGTACAATTATTTAGTTTACTTAAGAGCAAAAGCCAGATCCTTCTGGCTTTTGATCCAAGTTTTACGCTACCAGTTTTAAGACAAATTTAGTAACCAGATTCGCATACCCGTTTTGTTTATCGTTAAGACCCGAACATCTTCCCTGTCAACATTTACCTATTCCGTATTCATCGATACCATCGCTGGTTCCAGCTCTGGGAAAAAAAATAGCTTTACACACTTTGAAGAACCATTTATGTACTCACCGGAATACGTGTAAATATAATCTCTGAGCAGGGGTAAGAGTAAGAGAGGGATTGCACATCACTATCATTTCATCCATCTTGTATAATTTCATAATTACGTTCACTAAATTCTTCAGGTCTATACTTACCACTGTAAAAGCGTCAACAAGTTACCGGTCACTTCCATCATTTTATTTGTTAGACCGACTATTACCCCCTTGAACTACGAGTTAGTAGTTATAATAAGATGCTGTAAAGTAAGCTTACGTTACACCCGTCTTAGGTAAAGCTTTGTCCACCCACTTGTGTTCGCTGCCAAGTTGAAGTTCCTTGATTTAATTGTTAATTAGTAATTACTTAGTCATTGTCATATATTGCGTCATTAATTATCACCTCTTACCTCGCTTGCTTATGCACTACAATAAAATTACTTATATACCCCGTTAAACAGCAGTTTATTATAAATTATTTTTTGTTGCTGGCCAACTCATTAGGGATGGGTGGTAATGGGAAATCTAGAATTTTGGGCTTTGGAACTACAGTCAAAGTCGGGTGATAATCCCCCCTCGGTTCTAGATATTCGGGTTCTTTGTCGTTATCATTTGCAATTAAAGGTAATATCAACTTATTATCTTTATAGCTGTCTGAACTCAATTTTTTTGAGGTTTTTGTTTGATCTTTCCCCATGACATCTTTTTTTGTTTTTTTATTAAGGACCAAGGGAGGGAAAGGAGTGAAAGGGGGTAGTTTTGAGTTCTGTTTCTTAGATTTTTTCGACTTTGAGATTGTACCATCACTATTGAGCTTAGTTTGTGAGTGGGGCATTGTTGTAGGAGGTATTTCTATAAAGCTTCCCTTTAGAGTCTTATTATCATTAGGTAGGTCTTGCTGGTTTTTTATTATTGTTTGATCAGAACTAAACTCATCCGATGATGAGCTTAAATGAATTTTTGCACCCATTACTGTTTCACCAGAATTAGCTTCTCTCCCAAAAATATTTTCCTGTAAGATATTGATGGTTGGGTTAGTGAAAGAATCACTATCAGATGATAAATTATCAATATCAGGGTCCAATGAGCTACGAGGAATCCCTTTATGGCCGAACATCGGAGATATTTCGGCTAAGTTACTGTACTCTTGCTCTGGAATCGAGTCCGATTCCTCTTTATCAAGAAGTTCTAATAGAAATTCTGTTTGTTCTTCACCTCCCTGGCTCCGAAATGAAGATATAGGAACATTAGATTTTGCCAAAATCTCCTTTGTCCTCTGGGATGATGTTGCAATCTTCTTTGCTAAGTTTATATTTATTGGAACCATTAGGCCACCGATATTTAGATCTTGATAAATAACTGATGGATCAGTTATTTCCTTCTCAGTGATTATCTCCATCAATTCTCTTCCTTTTTGTAAATCTTGAGGATTTGTTAAAAGTTCTCTTTGTTCATCATCTGACCCTACCTCTTGTTCCTCTAATAGTATCTTATCTGATACGTGCTGAGTAGACATGCTTTCAATATTGAATAAGAGTATTTAATCTTAATATTATTATTCTCTTAAATTTACGGGTAAACCTACTGAGCTATCACTAAACGCATTTTTAGAAAGAGTTCAGGAAATGAAAATTGCTCGTCACGTCTCCGACGATGAACTGTTTTCTTCAGCGATAGATTTGTTTTCAGACGTAGCATTGGTATGGTATCGTGGAAACGTCGAAAAAGCTGACGACTGGGACTCATTAGTATCTTTGCTTAGGCAAGAATTTCTCCCTAAAAATTACAATGAGAAGCTCTTCAAGCAAATAAAAGAACGTACCCAACATCCCGAAGAACCTATGGGCATATATGTAGCATATATGAATAACCATTTCAAAAGGCTTACTATTAGAATTCCAGAGGCGACTCGTTTAAAGATTCTTCTCGAGAACATGGCACCATTTTACAAAATTGGGTTAGCACTTCATGTCTCAAATATAAAATCGGTCGACGATTTACTCAAAATTTCCCGTGAATTAGAGGACAACAGGGCAGCCGTTAATGATTATATTCCACCACCTCCTAAATCAAAAAATATTTTGGAAAGGGACTTGGCATGTATTTATTCGGAACCAAGTTCAGAAGCTTCCTCCAGTAATGTAGATGAGGTCAGGACTAGTAATAATTATAGATGTTTCCGTTGCAATCAAATAGGCCACTTTGCCGTAGACTGTAAATTAAGAACTCGTATTTATTGTTTCAAGTGTAATAAACCTAATTTTACCATTCGCACTTGTCCAAATTGTAGTAAGAACCAAAAAAACTAGTTTCTGGGACTTCTTCAGGTCGGCAAGTTGTCTCATTATCCGCTATACAAACGACCACTTATCTTGATAAAACAAAACCAATTTTAGACTTCATTCTTTCTCAATATGGTAACGACAATAGACCTTATCTTGAAATCTCCATCTTTGGAATTAAATTGACAGGATTACTTGATTCTGGTGCATCTAAAACAATAATCGGTGAACCAGGCTGGAATTTACTTAGCAGGTTAAATTTACCTTTAAAGAAAGCAGAAGTATCTCATGTTAAAGTAGCTAACGGTAGTTCATGCGAGGTGTTAGGTAGCATCACTGTTCCGATAACACTGAAAGACAAGACAAAACTTATTAATATTTTAATAATTCCATCACTTTCGCACCAATTGATATTAGGATCAGATTTTTGGCAACTAATGGAAATAGTGCCAAATCTTAGTCAAAACGTTTGGAAGTTCGCAGTTGACGAAGTCAATGTTCAACCGAGTCTTTTATCTCATTCTGCGCTTACACCAAATGAACAACTTCAATTAAAAGATTTTATTAACGAAGTTTTTTCCAAAATGGGAAACAAAATAGGTTGCACTAATTTAGTAAAACGTAAAATCATTGTCGATTCCGAGCCGATTAAGCAAAAATATTATCCTGTTAGTCCAATGGTACAAGAATCTATAAACAAGGAACTAGATAAACTTTTATTGGAAAAAATTGTAGAACCTTCACACAGTCCTTGGGCTTCTCCCATTCATTATCTTGGTGAAGAAAAAGGATGACACATATCGTTTTTGTGTGGATTTCCGGAAGCTGAATAAAGTCACGGTCAAAGACAGCTATCCGTTGCCACAGATTGTTTCCACCTTAGATAAGCTTAGGAATGCTAAATATTTATCAACTTTAGATATCAAATCAGCATTTTACCAGATACCATTAGACGATGATTCTAAGAAATATACCGCATTCACCGTACCAAACAGAGGGTTATTTCAATTTACCAGACTTCCATTTGGTCTAACTAATTCTCCTGCTACTTGGCAGAGATTTATAGATACTTACCGTTATTGCTAACGATCTAGAACCAAACGTCTTTGTATACCTAGATGACATTGTTGTACTTACAGACAGCTTTGACAAACACATCACAGTCCTCAAAGAAGTTATCAAACGTTTAGAATCAGCAGGGTTGACCATAAGTAGGGAAAAGTGCGTGTTTTGTCGTCCCCCAATTGAAATACCTAGATTAGATAAGAAATAAATAACGACTTCCTCACACGCTACGAGGAACTTTGACATTTTAGCAGGAAAGTGTACAGGTTTTTTTTGAAGATGTTGATAGCCATATTTTTTAAGACACCAGGTAAATCGTTATAGAGCTTGGCAATGTTATAGGAAAAACATCTCTCAAACAATGCACTTCTGTGAAAAGGGGGCTTTATTAGAGAGGTATATCTTTTTGAATTTGTACAAAATTGGATCTGATCAAATAGATATGCAGGTTCTTTACTTACAACTATTTTGTGAAATAGTACAGATGAGTGAAACTTTCGTCTATTTGCCATATTTAACCAACCCAATGCCTCTAGCTTGTGAGATATATGTTCGTACTTTCGAATTCCGAAAATTAAACGCATACACGAGTTTTGTATAACATCACAGTAGCTAAATTGTGAAAGAACTAAAGCCTCACACAAAATTATTTTTATCCTTTTATTAAATATGTGCCTATTATTATATATGATCTTTAGATTGCTGAAAGCTCTTTGAACAATATGGGCTACATGGGTTCTAAATCTTAGATCTACATCAATATGCAGACCTAAGTTTTTGACACATGGCCTTAGGGAAAGTGTAACATCTTTCACAGTTATTTTAATGTCATTAGCCACAGTGTTTCTGGCTTTAGTTCTTCCAAAAAGAATGGTTGATGACTTCAGAGGATTTATACGCAAACCATGCTCTTCGGAGGTCTTAACTAATCGTTCAACATCCTCATTTATACGCATATTTGCATTAATTGCATCACCTGAACTAAAATTATATTGCAGCTGAGTATCATCTGCGTATTTTGTCCATTTTTTTGTGCAGTATTCTGCATATAAAAAAGTACACAGTTTAATGCAAATTGTATCAGTTTTCCGTTTGCAACAACAAAATATTCTGGACAAAACTTTATAAGAATCATGCGCATTATTACGAAATAAATTCAAAAAATTTAGTGCTTTTAGTGATATTTGATGGTAACAGTGAACAGTTGGCTGGTGACGTGTTTTAAGTTGGGTGAGGTTATATTCCTGATAAGTTTAACGAAATTATTTAACAAAGTTAAAGTTTATGTTAAAACGAACGTCAGAAAATGACAACGAGGTAGGAAGGTAAAGGAATCCTTCATATGTTAAATGAAGAACTTCTACTTCAGGACCCGATGTCGTACTGCAATTATCTACGAATGAATAATGACACATTTGAAATTTTGTGAAAACTTATTGAAAATGACATATCAAAACAAAATACTTTTCTGCGTGATTCAGTTCCGGCAAGAAGCAGGTAATTTATGTAACATACTTATCTTATGAGAGTTTTTAGAATATGTATTTGTTGCAGACTACAAATTACATTGCGTTTCTTAGCTACTTGAGAAACGTATCGATCGCTAATGTACGCCACTCGTGTACACGAAAGTACTATTTCGGTACTTTCACGGTTTGTGCCAGAGGTTTGCCAAGCAATAATTAAGAATTTGAAGACCACATACTTGAAGGTAAAAGTTACTACAAGCAGATGTGTGTAACTAAACACTTTCTTTGTTTTCAGACACCAACAAGCGAAGGTGAATGGGAAGAAATTTCCAACCAATTCTACAGCAGATGGGATTTTCCAAATTGTATTGTATTTCTTTAATTATAAAGGCAGTCACAGTATAGTCCTATTGGCCTTAGTTGATGCTCGATATGAATTTTCATATGTTAATGTTGGCATAAACGGACGCGTCCGTGACGGAGGTGTCTTTAGAGAAAGCTTTTTATGAAAAGCAATTGCAGATAATTTATTAAATTTTCCACCTGCAAAGGCGTTGCCTGGTCGCTCCATGAAGGTGCCTTAAGTTATAGTTGCAGATTACGCCTTTCCTCTTTGTGAAAGGATATTGAAAACGTCCCAGCTAACCATGGAAGGTCTGAGAACCGTCGGCCGAATGTATGCATTGAATGTGCATAATGCAGGTGCTTAAACAGTATAAATACTGCAGTAACATTCAACTACGCCAATGTAATTTATTACTGCAGCACCGCGTGAGCATCTTTTGGGTTGTATTTTATTAACGCATATTTATTGTGCATATTCAACAACAATGAAACGAGAATTATCGGCTAGGAGATGACCGCTATTATTAAGTGCAGTTCAAGCGTTGGTTCTGTGCATGCTATCTAGGAACTTCTCATGTCAAGGTTGGTATTAAGGTAAGTAAGTATATGATTGGTACTACTAATTTTTATTTTTAGTGTCGCTGCAAATGGCGGATATTGTTTCTTTTGCTTTTTTTAAAGAAATTGTTCTGTGTTTGCGAATGTCTCAAAAGCACAAGTGAGTTTTTAGTGTGGTGTCACACTATGCGTTTTTACCGCTCCCGCTAAAACGGATGCGTTTGACAGGATGATAATATCACACGTTATTAAATGGTATCAGTCACATATATGCGTTTTCGCCGCACAACCGGATGCAACCGCATCCTGCTGCCGCAGCGCAGGATGACATGACAACCACAATGACATGAAAGCACGTGGTTGTCATCCAATTTGTCATCAGTTGTCACACTGAGCGTTGCAACCTGGTGTTTTCTTGTGTTTACAATGTTTGATGTCAGCTTATTCATCGAGTGCGTGCATGCAAAAACTGCACTGTGGGAGAAACAATGTAAAGAGTATGGAGATAAAAACTGTAGGGAGAAATCATGGGTTGAAATTGGAGAAACAGTGTATAAGAATTGGATGGAGCTTGATTCAATGGAGAGAGATGAGAAAGGTAGGTCATAACGAATTTTTCTGTTTACTTTCAGTATTATTTTATTTTAAAATAATAAAAAAATTTGTAATTACAAAAAGGCAAAAAATGTGGAATTTAGTACATGTAACTTCTTTGGAAATGTACTGCTCCAGCTCCCATAAAATACTGTGCAAAGTAGTCTCTAACATCTCTCTTACGAACAAAATTGTGGAGAATGCAACAAGCTTGCACTATTTTATCCACGAAACTAGGTTGCACAAGAATGGGAGTATGAAAAATCCTCCACTTGTTTGCCAGAACTCCAAAGGCGCACTCCACATTGCGTCTGCACCTTGATAGTCTGTAATTGAACACTCTTTTTGTAGCATTCATGTTGCGGGATGGATACGGTTTCAAGAGGTTCGTATGAAGTTTGAATGCCTCATCCCCAACCATTACGAAGGGTTGGGGAATTTCCTCGGGCTGGGTGTTCGGTAAACAACGAGGCGGTGGCAGATTCAAACTGCCAGAGTACAGTTTCTTGCCTAATGGACTGTCCCGAAATACAGTCGAGTCTCCTTCTTTTCCGTATGCACCAACATCAATTGCGACAAAACGGAGATTTGCATCTACAACTGCCATTAGCACAATAGAAAAGAACTTCTTATAATTGAAGAAATTTGATCCTCCTCTTCGGGGATTCATGCATCTTATATGCTTTCCATCTATCGTGCCTACACAGTTAGGAAAGTTTGTTTTTAAATAAAATTGATCTGCGATGCCCAACCACACCTCTTCAGTGGGTTCCGGCATTTCTTGCTCTTTCAAAGTACTCCAAATCGCTTCACAGGTTTCTCGGATTATTGTTCCAATTGTAGATCTTGCAATTTGGAATTCGTACCCAAGGCTTGAGAAGGTCATTCCAGTAGACAAATACCTGCAAACAAGAATTTTAATAATATTTAAAATTATTTAAGTGAAAATCTCAAAAATTAAATACTGTGTAGTAGAACTCGGACGCATGAACCTTAGTACAATATTAATACTCGTATATGTATATAATTTACAAATTTATTGTCTTCCGTTGTTACAGTAAAGGAAATGAAGAATAAATGGCGACATGTTAGAGATAATTACTATAAGTTTATGAACCAAGGCAAGAGTGGTGATGCTGCTCCCAATAAGAAAAAAAAATACATATATGCGGACTCTCTCACGTTTCTGCAAATCACAATGAAGAAACGAAACACGTCCGGAAATATCCCTAAAAACCTTGGAGCTGAAGAGAATGAGGAAGATGAAGAAGGTGTAAATACGGAGGACAGCCAAGAACCGGATGAGGTGGAAGATGCAGCAGGTGTTGCTAACGAAATCCGACGTCCAAAAGCTACTTCAATTAGGGAACGACAACGTAGAGTACACAACCTTACGACTTTTCAAAATCAGCTACTAAAGAGATTAGATAATAGCTGCAGCAAACACATAGAAGATGATGCAGACAAGTCATTTTTAATGTCTCTTCTTCCTGATTACAAACAGTTGAACGCTGAAGAGAAATTAGATTTTAAATTTATGACTACAGTTTTTTCGAGACCTTCAACAAATGAAAAATAATTCAACTCCGCTTGCTTCAATGAATGCTACTTATCAGTTCTCAAAACATTTTCTTGACCATTCACAATATCATCTACCGCCTCAAGTTGCCCAAACTTTTAATCAATCAACTCATACTCAACCACGTCCATCATTTGTTCATACTCCTCTCATATCCCCACAGAACTCTCAACAGTCAAGTGAGTCATGTATGTCTCACAGATCAATGTACGAGTTGTAATATGACTATGTGTATGTACTTATTAAAATAAATATATAATTGATGTACTTACCTAAGTGTTACCGTTAATCTTTCTTCTGGACTTATAGCGTTCCTAAAGTTTGTATTCTTTTTGGTGATTTGTGGTCGCAATACCCCAAGTAGTTCGTCGAATGAATTTTTGGACATTCGGTAATATACAAAAAATTTTTTCTTGTTCGTTCGAATTTTTTCATAAAACTTCGCAAACCTATTATTAGATTCTCGCCCTGAATTAAAAGGATCAATCCAATATTGACGATATATCTGCTTTCGCAATAACCCCTCCGCCTCAAGCGCACAAACCATCTCTAACAATTGAGACATGACACTATACAGACTGCCAAAATATAGATAGCAAAAACGCATCCCGTTAGACCGGAATAGTGTGACAAGTAGATCTCATCCTGTCAAACCGCATCCGTTTTAGCGGGAGCGGTAAAAACGCATAGTGTGACACCACACTTATACCGATTACTTTATACCCGTATATACAGTCAGGTTTCCATTTGCGTACCGTTTGTTTGTCTAAAAAGATAGGTGCATGTTTACTTCAATGCTATTTTATCATGTCCTTTGCTTATAAACGACAAAGCCTTCGTCAAAGGCAACGAAATATAAAAAAACAAGTACAGCAAGTCATCAATTCAATTGAACTTGAAAATAAGTACAATGAAGAAAGTACTCCAATAGGCACTAACAAGATAAACAATACTAATAATGATGCTGCTGCCTCGTCTTCTAGAAAGATTTTGTATACTCAATCTTTCGATGCATCTTTTGATGAGGACGGTGAAGTACACGAGGCCTCGCAGCAGACAATTGCAATACCTTTTCTAAATCGGAACTTCTTTAACGTAGAAGTAACTGCTACAGAAGAAACCAACATCAACGATAACTTTAGTGATGAAATTTGTTTGGAAAATCGTAAGTCGAGTGATTCATCTAAAGAGTTTCTTCAGAATTGGAGCAAACGCAATAAAATTTCGCATGTTGCACTTACTGAACTATTAAAATGGTTTAAATTAAAGCCCAATATTAGTGATTTGCCACAGGACTCGCGTACTTTACTTAAAACTCCCAGAAAAATGTTCGGCATTAGAAAATTTTCAGATGGTTGCAAATTTTATTACTTTGGATTAAAAAAAAATTATCTAAACTTTATTTAAGATTTCTTTGTGACGAGATGGAATTAAATTTTAATATTGATGGCCTTCCTCTGCATAAAAGCACCAAGCAACAATTTTGGCCAATTTTATGTGTTGTAAGTAACCTAGCCGATCAATCTCCATTTATTGTAGCACTGTATTTCGGTCACAAAAAACCTCCACTTGAAGAATACTTATGTGATTTTATAAATGAACTAAAAATCTATTTAAAAGATGGTTTAGTTCTTAATAATACCATTATAAAAATTACTGTGCGGTCATTCTGTTGTGACATGCCTGCCAGATGTTTTGTAAAGAATGTCATGAATCATAACAGTTATAGTGGTTGTGATAAATGTAGTGTAAGAGGTGACATTAAGAATAAACGCATGATATTTTGTAATTTAACAGCAGATCTTCGAACAACAGAATCTTTTGAAATACTTACCGATAGTTATCATAAGGGCAGCAGTCCTCTTTCTAAATTGCCTGTAGATATGATGACTGCTTTCCCAATTGATTATATGCACTCTGTTTGCCTTGGAGTGATGAGAAAGCTGTTATTTCTATGGAGGGATAAAGGCAAACCTTACGGCATTAAAAATATCATTGATGTAAATACACTCATATTAGAATTGAGACCATACTGGCCTGCCGAATTTAACAGAAAACCTAGATCATTATCAGAGTTAGAGCATTGGAAGGCGACAGAATATAGACAGTTTTTACTTTATGTAGGACCCCATTGTGTTGAAAAAGAAGCTACCTCATACCATTTTGTGTAACTTTTTATTGTTAAAGTTTGGCATATCAATACTGTTGAATGAAAACCTGAATAAGTCATATAATCAATATGCAGACAAGTTATTGCGCTTATTTGTAAAACACGCAATCGCTATATATAGCAAAGAGTTTTGTGTCTATAACGTTCATTCGTTAATCCACCTTTCGAAAGATGCGAAAATATTTAACACGCTAAATACAATCAACTGTTTTCCATTTGAAAATTTCTTAGGCAGCTTAAAAAATCTACTTAGAAAGCCCAATTTACCTCTAGAACAAATTGTAAGGCGTTACGAAGAATTAGGTACTGTGGGTCCAAATAGAAATCCACAGTCTGTAAAGTTATTCCACCTTGATACCCAAGTACCATCCAAGTTTTCTAATTTTACATACATATTGCAGGGGGAATTTTATTCAGCCATGCAACTTAATAACACTGCTTTCTCACAGAAAAGGGAATAATTGCATTTTTACCAAGTCTGGGCAAATCGTAAAAATATTATGCTTTGCTTGTACCCAGAATAATACTAATATTACAGTAATTGGATGCTTAATTAAAAAACTTAAACCTTTTTTGGAATACCCAACATCCAGTTCTATATTTTCTTTCTATGAAGTTATAGAGGATACTACAATTGTTAGTTGCAAAATTGAGGAAATATTGCATAAAGGAGTTTTACTCTACGGAGTACTAGTAGATCGTCGCCGGTAGTCGTCCTGACACCCACGACGCAAGGACCACAGGTTATCTCTAAAAGTACTGTTGCAGAGATAAGAGAACAACAAACGGGGCCGAGTAGTAAGAGAGCGCGCAAAGATAGCGAGGACGAGGTCGAGAGGGGTACGTTCACGCTGAAGACGCTGACGACACTGGACCCGAAAGTGCTCATGGTACAAGCCAGCGAGTGTCTCGACACCATCATAAGTGCCACCACCCGCGAAATAAACGGCAAAGTCAGTTTTAATAGGGCCGAGCAAATGTCGGTCAGAGAACGACAGACAATCTGAACAAAACGATTCAGGCCCTATGCTGTATGGTATACGAGGCGAACCAGAACGCTCTAAATGCGGAACTAAAACTTGCCAGGTGCCAGTGCCAGTTTCGCAGGAAAGACCCGGACTTAGTATCCAGCTCCCCGTAGCCACCCCCGTGAGACAGGCCCAGGGGCCAAACCCACACACTCCCGTCACAATAAAGCAGCCGGTATCCTTTGCACAGGCGGCCAAAATGATCGCGCAGACGACCCCAAAACCCACAAAGAAAGTAGAAGTTTTTACAACTCGGGTTGAAGTGAAGGACGTTGCTGACCTCGACAAGGCGCTCACGAAACTTAAGAGCGACGTAAAGCATGGAGACGTGGGAGGGGCGTTTGCTGCCATCCGAAAATTGCCCCAGGGAGCGCTAATAATAGACAGCACTTCGCGTGAACAGCAGGCGGCGTTACACGCTAAATTAAGTCAGAAAGGGGACACGTACACCACAAGGGAGTTGGGGTCTTTGAAACCTAGGGTCATACTCACGGGTATTGATGCGGGGTACACGGACGCTATGCTCACGGAGAGCGTTCTGGAACAGAATGAGGACATATTCGGGCCGTACGATAAGAGCAAGCCGTCCCCCTTTAAGATTGTTGGTAAGAGAAAATGCAGGAATCCTCAAAGGGAAAACTGGGTGCTGGAGGTCGGAGCCGGGCATTTTAAACTACTTGTGGAACGGGGTGTAATCAACCTAGACCTCGTTAAGACCCGGGTGGAGGAGCACATCCACGTGATGCGCTGCTTCAAATGCAACGCTTTCGGGCACACACAGCTACGGTGCACGGAGAAAGAGGACATCTGTCCCAGATGCGCACAAAAACATAGGCTGGATAAGTGCGATTCGGGCACCCTATGCTGTGTCAATTGTAAGAACCTCGGCCTCCAGCAGACAGAACACTCGTCTATGGATGGAAATTGCCCCGTATACATCAAAAGGGTCAAGCTAGCGATTAACAAAATTGACTATGGCCAATAATAACAATTCCCTAACTAACACGGGTGGGACGAGAACAGGGGGTAATTTGAACAAGGGAGCACTGGTTGCTATACAAGCAAATCTTGGTAAGGGTAAGGCCGCAACCATACAACTAGCCCAGATCGCCAAAGAAAAGTCAGCCGCGCTATTGTGCGTACAGGAACCGGG